AGTGGACAATGCCTTGAAGGAAATGTCACCAGAGAGGGCGCGCTTAAAATACACGTTGGCTATATAATTGCAATATTTTGTTGTTCGTAGAACGTAAATTGAAAAAATAAATTCCGTAATTCTGTAATCACAGGCTAGACGTACAACGTAATCAATCAAATATTTTTCTCGTACACTGTAAAAATGTGTACAAGAATTTACATCCAAATAAAAAAAGTCGTAAAGAATAATCCAGGGAAATTACATTTTTGAAACTGTAAAACGTCTAGATGACACAATTCACTGCAAAATTCAATTTTCACTATAAACTGTAAAAACGTCTTTTTTTCCTTGTAAATTGTAAAAAGCCCTTTTTATTTCCCGTAAAACTGTACCAGATACACCCTTGCCCCCCTCCCCTTATATTCCCTCTCCAAGATGTAGTGGTGAGGAAATGACCGAATAAATGTACCTTGGCTGGGAAGATGCTTTCTTGCAGACCCTAGTCCCAGTTCAGTACAGCCGGAATAAAACTTTAAATTTATTTTTTCTTGAGCCCCTTCAAAATAAATTTAAGCGCCCCTTCAAATATAATGTTATTGCCCTGACGTTATGATAGTATTTGTAATGGAACTTTTAAGGATATATAATTTATTTCTGCAGCGATGTTGGCATATGTATTACTCGACATACTCGACAACTAGAATACATCATACAAACATGTAATTGTTGTTGTCACTCAAAATGTCACCCATCTTCTCTATACCAACTTCATACCAGTGCTGATTTTTGTTGTTACAAGATACTTCAGATATCTGTTTTTGATGTCATTTTTGGATAGCGATTAAGTGAATGTCACTATAGTAACCAAAATATGATTATAAGATAACGGGTTGTCTTTCTTCAGGTGTGCCTTATCATATTTTGACAAGATACAGTCGATAACGGTTATCTTTTTCAACAAACTGATAGGAGAATAGGGACAACTTCTATTAGAACATATCAGTCGGTTGACCCAACTAATCTTAATCTAAATTAACAATATTTAAACCTCCGTTCTCTAGGTGATTGTCCGTTCAACTGCGAGATCTCGCGAGATGCGTGAAAGACGCGCGTCGAACGTCTACCGCAAAAATCGAACGATTTGATTTTGAACTCGAATTTCTTTATTTCGTAGCTCACATCGACCGGCCGATCTTCGACAGAGAATATTGCTTTCGAATACCCTGACTTAATCGAAATTATCTATCATCAAATGTGTACAGCACATTATTAAGCATGGAAATGCCCCCCAAAATATTTTCGCGTTTGTCGAATCCCACGCGATGTTTGACGCCAATACGACCTTTGTTTGTCCTGTTTTTACGTTCGATTTCACGCATAACGCGTGATTCTCGCAGTGAACGGAAAATGGTCGATGAAAATACTATTTTCTTGCTTATTTTATGTTGCTTAACCAAACCAATAAAATCTGTAAATTACACCACCTCTTTAGTTTATGAGACTGGCATAGAAGTGATAGAAGCAGCGGATATTAACTGAGGAATGGCATGCATTTTGATGATTTTAACTTTGCCAATAACAGATAAAAATCGCTGAGACAAACGACTTTTGGATTAAATTCAATAAATCAGACAACTTATCGTCCGATGAAACAAAATATATGAAAATATCTGCTTGCAAATCTCCCAAGTAGAATTTGCATTATAACGCGATCTAATTCCCACTTTAAGCCAATAAACTTTCTTTTGTATTCAGTATTGGACACCTTGTTAAAGACAATGTCCAGCACTATAATACCATGGACAAAAAAAAACATTCACTGCCAAATTAGCTAGCTACACATATCAGAAAAAATAACAAAATATAAAAATGAAGCATGGGTATTCTCTAGGACACTGTATACAAACTGACGAGTGGCTAAGCCACTTAAAAAACGCCTTCCATCGACCATGCAACATAAACATCTACAATTTATAACACACATTATGCAAAGTACATACCTTCCCTCACAATTCCTATTCAATATTCCAATGCGAAATGTTATAGTTGCATGTATTAGAAGACTGAATTGTTTTGTCACTATTAAAATGAGAATCTTGTTTGTACTTAAGCTTAACAGATGTCAACACGTGCACAAAAGGCCACATCGCACACGTTTCATACGGATTGAACATACGGATTGAGTAGCAAGCATTTTTATATGAACGACAATAGCAACGTATATCATTTTGATGATGGTAACTTTGCCAATAAAATATATAAATCGTTAAGACAAATTGTTTATATGTCTCATTCCACAAATATTATTACAATTCCTGAGATAAATTGCTCAACAACAATAATAGTTCGGACAAGGAATTCGTACACCTATTTTAAAACTAAAAGAAGGGGCATGGCAATTGTTCGTTACTCATTGATTGCATGATATTGCAATTCAACTAAGAAATTTGTTCCCATAATTAAAGGCCTCAAATGAACAATAAAAAAATCACATATGATCGAGTCGAACAATATTATATCATTAATTCTACTCGAATTACTTAAAAATACATCGTTAATATACTTTGATCAGGCTAAATAATGGTATCTCCTGTTCAATTTAGATAATATTATATAATCTGATTTTTTTGGTGATATCTAGCCTTTTTTTGGAATTTATGTTATAACCCATGTATTCTGCTCCACGGATAATTCCTCAGTGAGTACATGAGTACTTCGAAATGTTTCATCTCATTATAACGTCTTTTCTCTTTATATTTGCAAATTTAAATCTCTCAGTTAAAAAAAGAAAATGCATGACAGCCTACACAAGGTACCATAATAATCAGTTGTTCTGTATTTACATTTGCTTTCATCAATGATCCAAATGATCAGGTCATTTAAAATTTACCGTAAACCCAAGACACACATTGGAAACACACGTCTGCATATTTGGTCTTGTGATATGGGTTGCTCCGAAAAAAAATTTCTGTATACAAAAACCTTTACTCCAAAGTTAATGTGTGATGCATAGATCTAGCTAATTAGACGCATAGTTAATTTAGTGTTGGGCACAGCCACATTAATAAATGACTTCAGGTAAAAGTAGCTTATACCTTTTTCTGTATTCCAAGAACTCACAGAAATCCAATGCGTTAGTTATTCTTCCAGTATTTGAACTAACATTTGATTTAACAAATTTATTATTGACGATAAATGTTAATTTGAACTAAAAGCTATGACATAACTCATCTGAGTAGTTTCTTTGTCATGTAATTCAAAT